TAAACAATGTACACAATTTTAAATCAATGTAAATGAAATTCAGTGAGGAGAAAAAAAATTTTTATTTTTTTTCTTAAAAATAAGATTTCATAAAAATACAGGAAAAAAAATTCTCAGTAGGAATAAAAAAATAAATCATAATTTTAATCCATCTTAAGTAATCTCACAGAAACATTACATGGATCAAATTAACAAAGATTAAAAAATTACAAAAATTAAAAAAATACAATGCTTATAGCTGAACATACTCATGCATTTTCAGATTTGATTAAAAGAATACCACAGTAAGCTTTCCTGTTCTGATATTATTCAGTCATTCACTTCGTATATTACCATTCAGGCATAATCAGTGTTAGACCTCATAATTTTCAACTCCAGTAGGAACTTCATTCAGCATTATCTGAAAACAGTCAAGATCAAATTAAGAACAAATGAATAAAACTCAACCACATGCCCATGTTTCAGCTACAACATTCAGAATGCTAGTTTAGAAAAATCAGTACTCTTTTTCCTGTTAAAGAGACAGAGTGATAATTTCCTGTCTGCAAACCACTGTGATATACAGATATGAGTCCAGGGAATGTGCATGGAAATCCCCAGAAGGGCACAGAAATTAGAAGTTAAATTTTGTATTTTCTAATTGAAAACCTCTGTACACCATTGATACTTAGATGGCCCTTGTTGCTACAAGAGGTTTTAAACACTCTGCCATAGCCTGGCCAAGACAAAAGATATCACTGGATAATTTCAGCAGAACAGAAATCCCAGGCCTTATGCAGTCCACAGATACAAGTATTTCAATGCCTCCTAAGGGCAAATACTCAGCCAGTGAGAAAGTAGTACAAAAATCTTTGAGGAATGTTTTCTGAAGTATCCCGTCATGTAGTACGTTACCTAAGTATGGACGGTGTATTTAGAAATACCTGTTCTTCCCAAAGGCAGTGCCGACCAGCATTCAGCACCACACTGTTGCTTTTGAGATCCTAATACTTCAACGAATCTAGAATTAGATTCAACTTCTTAGTGGGAGAAAATCACCTCCCTCAGCCTCTTGGCTGCACTTATGATGCAGCTCAGGGAACAGGTGGTTTGCTGTGCTGAAAGCACACATTACCAAGTCATGTTGAGCTTCTCATCAACCAAACATGGTAACATGAACAATTAAATATCCTGGATTCTGAATGCAAACAACAATGTGATCAGTCATAATCTGCTGGTTTGGGATGAGGTAATTTTCTTCAGGGACCTAATGCAGGGCTGTGTTTTGGATTTGCACTGGGAAGAGTGTTGATAGCACAGGAATGCTTTCCTTACAGCTGAGCCAGAAGGAAACACGGTGGCATGGCCTTTTTGCTCCTTACAAGGAGGTGCACAAGGAGGTGGGAGGGGACACAGGTGTGACAGCTGACCCCAGCTGACTCCAGGGACATCCCACAGCACATGGTGTGGCACTCAGCAAACAAGCTTGGGGAAGGAGGAACACATGAATGTTTGGAGTGATGGAGTTGTCTTCCCCAGTCACTGTCACGTGTGGTGCAGTCCTGATTTCCTACAGCTGGCTGAACACCTGCCTGACCATGGGAAGCAACAAATTAATTCTTTATTTTGCTTTGCTTGCCTGTACGGCTTTTAGTTTACCTATGAAACCTAGAGATCTTCTTTATCTTGACCCAAGAGTTTCACATTTTTACTCTTTCAATTCTCCCCCTCATACTGCTGGGGGGAGATGAGTGACTGGCTCTGTGGTGCTTAACTGCTGACTGGTGTTAAACCAGGATACATGACATTCCACTTGCATTTATAAACCAATTAGTCAAAATAATTCTCAAGAATATCTGAAGGACAGCTCAGAACATATTTTAAAAGTTAAATATATTAATAAAGACAGATGAATAGAAAATCTATTCTTAAAACTCCATGTATGTGAAAATTCAAGACTCATAACTCCTGCTCAAGAGTGAAAATTATTGTGTACCTGAACTACTAGACCAGCTGTGTGATGGAATCTCTCCTTCAAAGCAACAGATCAGAGGACAGATTCACAGATATTATTTAATAAAATATCTTTTATTTTAGATATCAGCATTTTTCAAATGAAATCTCAAATCTCTGATTATGAGAAGACAGCAAGTTAACATTTTTCGGTCCTACCAGAAGTTATCCCACACTGTAAATAAACCAGCTACTTCCAAATTTTTTCAGGGAGGAGTTCATTGGTTCTTAAGTTCTCTTTGTGCCTTTCAGGAAATCAAATATTGCCAAGTCAGAAGATAAGATTCACTTTTCTTAATAAAGTACATATTGTTCGGATATTATACTAGGATGAAATTTAGTAACACTGTCTTTAAGATTTTTTTTTTAATGCATAAAAATGACAAACACTAATCAACCTTGAAATTGCAGTTTCTACTAAAAGAAAGAATTCTAGGGAAGACTTTCTTTCCCTATGGAGGGAAAGAAAGCGATGGTTCAAAGGATTCAAGAATTTCAAGGTCTGAAGGATTTTAAATTGGTTGATAAAGTCTGATTTTTCCTGACAGAACAACTCATTCTGAGAATTAATTTCAGAAACATTACTTGGAGAAACTAGTAACATGATAGGGTCCTTCAGCTGAATTAAGAAAAAAATTATTACTTTTACCATTTTAGATGCCTCTCATTCAAAGAATAAAATTTAGTACCTCCTAAAATGTCAAGACTCTCCAAATTCTCCCCTTTGTCCCCCAAACACTTAGAAAAAGAAAAGGGACAAAAACGAGCAGTCTTAATCATGTTGCAAATTGATGCCTATCAATTATTATATTATCAATTATTATGAATATTATCAGTTATGATGAGTAGGAGACTGAGAAAAAGTAGATTTCAAAGGAAATCAAACAACATGGGAACATTTGAGAACATGAAATTGTGAAATTAGCACTTTCGTTTGAGAAACAGGCAAGATTTTCACAGGCATCACTTGCTGGAAAGTATAACTGATACTCCAGCCTGACACAGTAATACTGGGAAGCAGAACACACAGTTATATGCCCCATGATAAATACACCAGAAAATAGTTAAATTCTTGGTTCTCTTTCTGAATAAGGTTCAGAACTGTGCAAACTGCTCTGATAACTGAACAGCATTAAAAACTTCAAACAATGCTTTGCCCATGAAACATTTAAATATTGGCACAGAAAATGAAATATTATTTCCCTGTATATTCCAGAGACTAAAATAGTGGGGGGAAGGAAAAGAAAATAACAGAGCCATTACTTTATTATGTATATCCAGATTCCTTTCAATTTCAAGCATTGCTTCAGGCTTTTCACCCATTTCCTCAAGCTTCTTTTTGTTTAAATATTGCTGCCAATATATCAATACCACTTGAAAGAAAGCCTAACCTCACTACAACTGGCATGAGGAAAATAAAAAGGAAAATAGCTGAACATTAGGCTTGAAATTTAAATTAAGGAAACATTGCATCTATTTTTAATAGGACAGGAAAAGTAAAGTTGGATCAAATGTTAAACATTTACAAAAGTTAAAAGTTCAAGTGATTTTTAAGATGCACTTCTTTGAACTTTCAGTGGATCATCAAAATCTGTTAATTCAATAAAGGGACAAAGGGACACCTAAGATTGGCAGTAACTGTACTAAGACTTTAAGAGAGTTGATCTAAAAATTTTTTGTGAACATCAGTCATGAAAATTCTTATTCTTCTTTTTCGAAGTAACTGTTCACAAATAAACTATTACTTTCTGCACAATCTACATGTATAAAATCCTGATTTTGTGTCTTTTACTGTGTCCTGCTGCATGGCTGTTATTTAAGGGGGATCCTAGTCCTGTTAGACTACTCAAAAAACACAGTAAGCAGCATAGCTGGAAACACCGAGTTGTGAATTTCTCCTAGAAATCCATAGTAGTTTTCACAATCATGAAGTTAATATTTGTATAGATACAGAGAGCTAAAGCAGGTACATAACTTTTTCAGAGACAGGAAGACCGAGCTGGTACTTTGGAAATAATTATCATTTTACCAGATCTGAAAGACGCTTTCTTTGGTCAACTACTTCCACACTTAAAAGCTATCAACATTAACATAGTATCCTATTAAATGTGTTTATATACTTCAATGTTTGTGTTAATAGCAAATCTATAAATATGTATAAATATTAATTAATTTTATTTTAAATATACAAACACTTAGACCAATTCCAGCTAATCAAGACTAAAGAAAAGTAAATATAAAATTTTAAACTTTTATTGACAATATACTCTTCTTTATGACACATTATGCTAACTAACTACATCTAGATTTTTTAAAAGTAATCATTCTAATATTTGCACCATGCAACTTCTTTGTTGATTATTGCTGATTCAAATCCTTGGGATTTAGGGAAAACATGCATAGTATCTGCATAGTTTACCCTGAAATATTTAATCCCTCTCACTGACATAAAGACATGAACACTTTTCACTAACATCATATCTAGGCCAGAAGGTAACTCTAAGCTGTTCTCTATGTAAACACACACATTTGTGTGCCTCTACAAAACCTCTCTGAGAAAGGCTTAGGAAGTACTCTGCTTCAGCTTTCAATGTTACCTTTTATAGTGCAGTGCTGCAGGATTACTTTTGCATATCATAAATAACTCATGGAATCATGGAATTTTAAACATATGCAGCAGGAAAAAAGACATTATTATTATCCAGACTGACCTACTGATAAAAACTCTAAAAAAATTTCAAGGCAGAATAAGACACTTAGTGAGAAAGCTAACCACCAATGTAAACTTCAGTGCTTTCTACACAAAAATTAAAACAGAAGGAAAAAGAAAAGGAAAAAAAAAAGGAAGAAAAAGAAAGAGCCAGTATCAAACTGGATGAAGACTACATTCCAATTGTTTGCTTTTGGTATTAACCTCAAAGACAAAAGGAATCTCTTTGGAAAGCTAGTTTGAAAGAAAATAAGCCTGAAGTTGATTGAAGTATATAAACACAAGACCATAACTAAAATAATGCCCGGGCCACACAGTGATGCCTATGACTGGATTTTAATTGACTTGAAGACTGTCACAGTCCTATTATCATAAAACCTGTAATGCACTTCCAGCATGGAGGACCCATCTGTGCCCACCATCCATCTGTTTAGTCATGATTGGCAAAGTGGTAGGGAACTCGCAGTGGTTGCCGCTGCCTGAAAGGAATAAACCACAGGATCTTCCAGTGAGTGCCAAAAACTTCTGAGAAGGTCTGCTGCCATGGCTTCTGGGGCCTCGATCTACAGAAGACAGCATTATTAGTGAAAGACAGCATGCCCACAGCGCACTTCAGTCAGCTACAACAATGTAGGCTGGCTGGGAGTCCAATACTGGACTCTGATGAATTGTGTCCAAGCATCACAAATACAACTTTTATTTCATTACAACGCACAGCTGAGACTTAACTTTGGAGAACAGAAATTATCTGTGTCATCAATCAAACAAAGGCAACTTTTGAAGCACAGGCGACCTCAATATGAATGAAATGTATGTCAAAATGCTGCAGAAAGTATCTTTTGATCTGTACTTCTGAAAAGAAAATATAGTTCCACTGGCTTTGAGTAGGGAAAGAAAGGGAACAACATGCAGCTATTTTGTGTACAACCACTATTAAAAGATTAGTGAGGTGCTGCTACAGATAGGAAGTACAGTGCACAGTACCATGCAAAATCATCTTAACAAAGAGCTACTCCCTTAGCATTTCAGCAACGTAGGAATTTTACAGAACTTACATGTCTTCACAACAGTTAGACATTTTTTCTATACTTGTAGTGTCCTGTTAAAGAGAAAAAAATCCACAATGAAAAAGTATTTATTTACATTCCAAACTTTTAAAATGTCATTATGATAGCAAGTAACCACACCAGGGAATTAATTATTAATGTACGCTGTTTTGACTTTAGTTCATTAGGATGCATATTACACATATGCCATATTAGTTTTAAATAAATGTGAGATTATACATATAAATTTTAACTCAGTCTGTCTGTTAAATTATTTTTATAGGCATGATATGAAACTATACTGTGTAGTTTGGCTACAGTACCAAAGAATGCCAACAAAAAATTTCAGCATTATTACAGCAAAAATTAATTCAGATATTACAATTAATGCACAGGACATTTATGAGCAATATGTATAAGGCCATACTTTCCACAAGCACTCATTCCAGACTTGGAGTATCCCACTGAGATAACCTCAAAGCCAGTAAAATGCAGTCATTAACAGATGTAGTATTTTGAAAAGCAGGAGCTAGTCAGAAGTTTTAAAACCATTAGCTTTGTGAGTATTATAACACAAACAGCACAACTGAAAATATACCATGAGTTTCTACAGTTCCTATCACTAAATACAAATATAAAAATTGTTCTCTTAAAATGTAAAAGCTAATAATGTGCAGAGTGAAGGCAATCCTGCAGATAAGAGCAACTTAAATTCATACTTTAATTATAAAATGTCATGGTAAGTAACAGATCAGTTTTAGCTTAGCTCACCCCCAAACAAAACTTTTTAAATTACAAATAGTGCTTTTTTTTTCACTTTTCACTACAGATTTCACAAAAAGGCTTCCTTTGTGAGTATCATGTAGGGAGTTTCAATATAAATTCATAGCTCATTACACCCTGAAATCACTTGTGAAGTTCAAAACACAATCAATTGAAATATTCTTCATTATTTCAACTCCTTTTCATTGGTAGTTTGGTATTTCCCTTTACTTTTCACTGATTCAGGCGTGCACATAATGTACCTGTCAAATTACAGCAGAATTTGAATAAGACCAAGAGCTAATCTCAATTGCCTCAACCACATACAGACAGAAGGACTGTGGTTTAATTAGGCTGCTACTTCACTGTCATCTGAAACACTCCCTAGCACTAAAAACCACACTGTGCTCCTTGATTGTTCCTGCATGCAATTCAGTGCTGGAATTGCATGGCCCCAACTCCCTTGCCAACTTTTTGTATTCTGCTTCCCAGCTCTGAAGTGTTTTGGAACAGGATCCCTTACCACACACTAAACAGCAAAAAATCTTAACTCTGTCCATAACCTATCCAGCTGATACAGCAAAGGAGAGAAGTTCATTTTTCTCATGTCAATTCACCAGGATGCACAAGTTCTTGCCCAGAAGTTTGTGTAGAGAAGCCATGCCCAGTCAAGGTTACATAAACCACAATGGCCCCATTGTTAGGTGGGTTTTAACATACACTCAGCAGTGAGGGAGGAAAGGACTGGAGGAGAAAACTGTAAACACTGTTTGTTGTTTTGATTCCCACAGATAAACTGCTGCTCCTCTCACATTATAGGCCTGTCTTCCCTCTCCTGCCACTAGTGTGGCATTACACAAGTCCTTCTCCTTGTTAGGGCAGGACCAACTTCACAGCCAAGGAATACTTTGCTTTCTTGGACTGGCTTTTTACTCAGCCTTTGTCAGAGAAAACATCATCTTTCCCTACCACAAAAATTCAGACATGGCTTTTTGAATAAAAAGAACTAAGTAAACAAGAGATTACTTCCATGGCATTTCAGCAAAGTGGTAATACCATTTTCATGAGATGCTATAGTTCCTTTTGTAACTGCAAAAATATCTCAGTTCTAGGAATTATTCTCTGGTCCACTCAAAGCTGTTTATCGAAGAGTACGAAATAATATTAGCATATTTGAAAGCAATAATGGCAAATGGTCTTTTGTAAAACAATAACATGCTACTCCAGACTCTAAATGGACATGTAGCTATGGAATATTTATTCTACCATTTCAAAAGAGGGGCCTTTAAACCAGTTCTGGGTGCAGAAGTAACATCACCAAATATCTTAAACACGGCTTTCTGCTGTGTTTCTGCACATTGCTTATTCATTAATACACTTGTACCACTCCCTAAAATAAAGGTTTTTAGATTTTTGGGGGGAAAATCACAGATTGAAACCTGGAGATTGTATTTCGTTTTACATGTTGTTATGGCATGTTGTCATGACCCTGAGAACCTCTCAAGAAGTGAGAGGTTCTCAGGGTCTGCTCCCCTCCAAACTGTAAATTAACTAAGTTAAAGAACTAAAGCAGGAACTAACTTCCTTCCTTTCCTCCCTTCCCTTTCCTCTCTTCCCTTTGCTCCCTTCGCTCCTTTCTTTCCTCCTTCTCTTCCCTTCTTTCATTGCCTGCCTGTTTCCTTCCTCCCTCCCCTTACCTTAAAATGCCAACATACACTCCAGATTACTTTTGCTTTACAGCAAAGAAACTGGGGTTGAGCAGCGAGTCCTTTGCTTCTTGGATACTTTTTCAACATGAAAAAATATTTAGAGCCACATTTTAAAAGGTTCAAACTAGCAAAGAAACATTGCTTTGAAGTTTATCTGCTTAACAAGTACTAGTGACTGAACTTAAGAAACAAAATACCTTCCCTGCACCCTCATACCTTCCCTCCCCCCACACTGCTGCCAAACAGGCTCATCTGAAATCTGCTTTCATTTGAGAGTGAACCAGTTTACCTTTTCACATGAAAGTGAAACTTCACAGCACCCCAGGAAAGTCAGTAGCCCCTCTGAAGACAGGAGATGATGGAAAAGGAGAGTACCACAGTTGAGTTTTGACCTGTTATTTAAGGCTTCTTTCTCAGACATGAATTTTTTTTCTTTTGCAGACAAAGGACCAGAATAATCACCATTCTTCTGAATGAAAAGGTGGTCTGCTCATTAAAACATCTCATAAATGTCTTCCAATCATAGTATCATCTCTCTTATGCATTTGATGTGTACCAAGGTTTTGCAGCAACATCAGAATTACTGTGTTCAGCCTAAGAGGCTTTGGCTGTCTGCATCTACTATCAGCTTGGATTACTATTAATACAAATAGAACCGTGCTAAGATTTTTTTTCTAGATTCAAAGCTAATGCTAAAACCTTTTTTGAGTGCTGGCACTCAGCCAAAAGTTTAAAATAACTTGGTATGAGCAAACATCACATATCTATGCAGTCCTAGTAATCTCTAAAAATTTCTTGAAATTTGAAATTGCATACAAGATGAAATTGACAAATACAACTGATTAATTTAACATGATGGATCATCTAGATTCCCAAAGGCATCATCCAGAATGGAAATAAAAACTGCTCCTGCACCTGTTTATTCAGAGATACATACCCAATGATAAGCATCTTAAAGCAGCTACAGGAAAAAAAATCACACCTTAGTGAGACAGGAAAAAGAACTTAAGAGGAAATAAACACAGGAATAGGAAAAGGGCAAAGTTTTCAGATTCTGCTGAGGAGAGAAAAAATATGGGTTTTTTTCACTCCGAGGATATACTACAGATCCATAAGAGCAGTTTGCTTACTCTAAATTAAGTAAGCTACTGCCACAGCTAAGACTGATGTAAAAGGAAGGAGAAGAATGGAGAGAAAGAGATGTACGTAAAAGCACTGACAGAGTACTGCAAACCAACCTCAGATTCACTCACAAATGAATGCATCCAAATTAGCTCCAAAGAGAACTGCACCTTTCACATCTACGCTTCTATTTAGCATAACCAACTGCCAAAAAAAAATATAAATTAGAAAGATCACATGCACTGGTTAACCAACTGTCCTAGAGGATGGGTTTTATCATGAACTAACTCATCATGAAAAAAGCACACGCAAAGGATATTTTTCCCTTATTGATTCACATTTTCCAAAGTATAAACTGTAATTTGTAACTTACAGGATTAACTCCAAAGCATGTAGCTACAATCCTTGGTTCAGTTTTTCTTTTGTGTTTGCTTAAAGAGACATGCAATCATTACAGCTCTATTAAACACTTGCAGTAGTAGAATATAAGCATTATGCCATACTTTTATTATTTTCAAATGTTCACTGTAGGTGAATCAGCAGAAAAGTATGATGAAGCATAAAGAAAACAAAACTTGCAAGCCTTCCTGGACTTGCAGCCTTTGCTTTTATCTAAAAGTTCAAGACAACACATCCTTTATATAAAGGGTTTTTTTAATCTTCTGTCTAACATCCTTTCATGGTGTACATGTAATTGATAGATGAGCAACTCAAGAATAGAATATACTAAACATAGAAAGAATACATCGAATTTGATAAATTTTCTTTTCTTTTGGCATTAAATACATATTGGGTTTACTTCTGGCCAGTATTCTTTCCTTAATCTAGACTTTTCATATAAGATAGTTAATTTTATCAATTAAAACTATGTTCAGTCTGAAAACTATTAGTTCTATTTAAAGGTAAAATCCCTATATCAGACTCATGTACTAAATGAAAAAAAAGCTACACTCTGTTACTTCTAAGGGAATAGTTCTAGACTCTTCTATGTTCTGATTAATTTAGTTAAATAGATTTATAATTTTTTTTATTGGCTATTAGATACTGACTCAATGAAAAGAAACAATCTAAAATGGAGGCACCATAAAACCTCTTAACTTCAGGCTGTTGCAAATCCACAGTATGTTTGGTGCAGATAGCTGCATAACAAGAGACAGGACAAAACATATTCTATTTATTGATCCCTACAAATACCATATGATAAAAATAGAAGGGAAAAATATTTTAGAAATAACTGTTTATCATCTTCACAAAGAAGTCATTTTAATAGTCTGATGTCTAAATCTGACAAGCAACATGCAAACAAATGTAGTCAGCCCCTGGAACACTCAAATATTTTTATAGTTACTTATCTTCAAGTAGTTAAAGGTACTACCTTTACTATTAGTAAAATATATTAGTTAAAGGACTTCTTCTTTAAGTGATAAACCAGGGATAATTCTGACATATCTGATGATATT